CCTAAAACGGGACCCGAACTTAGACAATTACCCATATCTTCACCAAACCTTAAACCCTAAAGCCTATCACCTCAATTGATGTGGGTTGCAACTGCCGCTTCTTGGGGCTTGGACGAACTTGGCGATTAGAGAAGTTGCGTCAGTTGGCAGATCGAATACTTACTTAGTGGGAGTTTCCGAAATTAGCGGTACCTTATTGTGGGGTCCTTATAATAAGGATCCTACTATTTAGGCTTCTATATCGAGGTCCCGGATTTCGGAAACTCCTTAGTGGGTCAAGCAAGCGTCATCCTGGAACTGACTAGTTTGAAGGCTCAGGGCTTAGGGTTTAGGGTTCAGGGTTTAGGGTTCAGGGTTTAGGGTTTACTAACCAGTGATTTTGGGGGTTCCCTTGGCTCTTTAGCCCCTTATCTAGTAGGGATTATCATCATCCCTGGCTCCTAAGCTCCCCCAATATCAATGGTTAGTTTTAGAATCCAGCTTGTTACCGAGCTTTCTTCGCGAATTTAAGATCTTCAGCACTCCCTGCAACTAACCTAAGGGCCTGCGTAATTAACGAAGACTATTTAATTTATCAATTTCCCAAAAGGCCCTTCTACTAAACCGTAAACCCTAAACCCCAAACCCTAAACCCTGAACCCTAAACCCTGACCCCTAAACCCTCCTGCCTCCATGTCCGCCGAGTTCAGCAGACCCCTGCAGTTCGAAATGTGCCGACCGACGAGAAGGGCCTTGGGAAAGATCTGGGTTCCCCCAGAGGCTCCCCCCCTTTAAGGGATCTAAGGGGTTCCTTGAAGGGGTCAAAAGGTCCTTTAGGGGATCTGTAAAATTCTCTTTAAGGGATCCTCTAAGGGATGTATAAGGTTCCTTTAAGGGTTCCTTGGGTTCCTTTAAGGGATCTATAGGGGTTCCTTTAAGGGATCTACAGGGGTTCCTTTAAGGGGTCTAAAGGGGTTCCTTCAAGGGATCTACAAGTGTTCGTTTAAGGGGTCAATAGGGGTTCCTTTAAGGGGTCTTTAAGGGGTCTGTAGGGGATAACGGTTACAGTACCATATGGGTGGTCCTGTAACTTAGGGTCCCTTTTAGGGCCCTTTCTTTGAGGGTGCCGTCATATTCTGGGGACCTAAGATGGGACCCTACTCAATTTAGAGAACTATCGATATGATGGAACAGCTTTGCGTGCAGGGTTTAGGATGTGGAGAGGGGGGTGTTTGGGAGTTGAGCTTTAGTGTTTAGGTTCCGGTCTTTTCGGAGTTGTACGGTAGTGCTCAGGTTCAGGTGGTTTTGGGTTTTCCCCAACCCCTCAATCGGTTGAGGGTTTGTATTGAGCCCTCTAGGTAAAGATCAAGGAGGAGGCAGGTTTCGAGTTTTTGAGGTTCGCAGAGTTCGGGCCTTCGAATACAGGTTGCCAAGAAAGGTCTGACTGTGTTGCTGCGTGGGTAGTTATCGTGCTTACTTGACTAGAAAGGTTTCTGGTGAAACATTGCAAACATGTGCGAATTTTCCCTTGCCCCCGAGGATATACGAAACGCCCCCTGTCCAAGGCCCAAAACACTCACGATTAAGGAATTAAGGTTTGTAGTCCTGGTTTCGAGCTCCGGGCTTCGGGAACCTCAGGAATGTTAGGTATGGTGCTCTTGATCTCAATCCAGAAAACCAGCCCTGACATTGCAAAGCTGGCCAACATCCGAACAATCCTGGCCACAAGCAGCGCAGGGCTACCCTCAAAGCCCGAAAATCCACCCAAAGTACACGACATGCGAAACCCCTGTGCCCAAAGGCTCAAAACCGCCTAAACCCTGAATCCGAAGCCCTAGGAGCCCGGGACCCTATAACCCCTGAAGCTCGAGAACCCTTAAACTCCAAGCGCTTATCAAACCTTAAACCCCAAAGGTCTAAGCCCTTATAAACTCCAACTCCTGAACCGCTTAAACCCTTGTAAACCCTCGATATGACAACTAAACCCAAAATCCCAAAACCCCGAACCCGAAAACCCTAAACCACAAGACCCTAAACCCCAAATCCAAACTCTAAAATCCCAAAGTCCTAAATCAAATGCTGAACCCAAAACCCAAAACTCCTCAAAATCGCCGACCCCCCAGTCCCTTCGACGAGGAGCTCCCAACGGCACTGCGTGCTGAGGAGGGTCCCGCACGCCACAAACAGCCTGGCTCAGCCAGCCCTCGGGTTTCGGGATTGAAGGCTTACTGAAGGTTGACGATTTGGGTAGTTGTCAAAATTAGGGTCCCTTCTTGGGTCCCTAATATAATACGGCACCTAATATTTAGGGTACCTAAAATGGGACCATAATTTTGATAACTACCCATTTGGGATCTTGGGTTTAAGGTTTGGGGCTGTAGTGTTCAAGGTTTAGGGCCTAGCCAATATTTCGATTCCTGCAGATGTCCAACTTGATGTACTTCGATACAAGCCAACACTCTATCTAGACTCTAGATGCTTGCATGTCTTCTAACCGTGCTACTCCAATAGTCTTGTTTGAAAGGACAAAAACCTTGAACCCTGATCCTTTCTCCTAACTATGCAGTGCATAAATGGGTGCCGAACACCCCCCGCCTCGAACTCTGAACCGAGTTCAGCAATCAGCTGCATGGCCTGCTTCATGGAGGGGCTTGGGGCTTCAAGAGGCTTTCTAGAGGGGCGCATAAGCGTTGTCATTGTATAGGGTTCTTACTGGATTTATGAGGGTGGTACCGGGTCGTGGTATAAGAGCCTTATTAATTGGAACAGGGTTTGGAGGCATGTTTCCCGCACTTTTAGACGGGGTAGAAAGGTCAGGAGGGAAAAATATCACGGATACTCAGACCTCGATGCTGCGCACAGACTTCTTCTTCATGCGAGTGTTATGAAGCCGGAGTTCTGAACAGAAAACCCTGATTTCACGGGACGAAGAGCTCAGACCAAGCTTCCGTAAAGGGCCTGCAGCAGTGGACGTCTTGTGTCTCCAGAAGCATCTTGAACTTGGCACACTGTTCGACATGAAGCCAGATGTCATCATCATCTCATCATCAGCTTAAGCACAACTATCACCCTCACAAACACCATCACCACCACATCATCGCAACCATCACTATGAACCTGCCGCTGCTGAAAACGGTTCAAGCGCTCGTTCGGATGAAGCACTCCTCTGCATAGCCACCCTCAGCCCTTGCCGATACCCTTGAGCCTACACCCTCTAAACCCTAAAACCTACTGTAAACAACCGACCGCAGGAAGCCACCTCCCCTGGCTGCGTCGGCACGGCAGTGCGGAAAGCGATGGAGATCCACTGCTTCACGCCCGCCCGGAGGTCCTTTTCAAGTTTTAGCGTTCGCTGGTTGAGGGGTGCCGGATTGCGGGCGAGACAACTTCAGGATGCAGTGGTTTACGGATTTAAGGTTTAAGCCTGCTAAACCCTAAACCCAAACCCCTTAACCCTTTAAGGTGTATAGGCTGCAAATAGAGGGCTCAGAGTCTACGGTTGGGACACAGGGCTGGAGGGTTATGATCTTTAGGGCAGTTTGGGACTTCGATCCACTGGCTTAGGTTCAAGCCTTCTTTTGTGGTAGAGGATTGGGGTTTAGGGTTTAGGGTTTAGGGTTTAGGGGTTTAGGGTTTAGGGTTTTGCTTCTTTCTGTGAATGATTGCCACGTGTCCCTAGACCCTCAACCCTAGATCTGGTCAAGGCACTGTACTTAGTTTACATGCCACACGCCGGATGCTTCGCAAGAAATCGGTGCACCGTTAAAGCGGGGATCCCGGGACGATTCATTGATACAAGAAAGATCCCGTGTAGAACCCCTTCAAAAAATCCTGCAAATAAATACTATTGCTGCAGGATCATGAAACCTCGTGGTTCAAGCCATAAGCAGCCAACAAAATTGGGCCTGGAATAAACTTCAATTACGGTTACCTGCTTTATCAACTTGGCTATTAAGCGCGACGCCCCTTTTAGCACCTATGTCTACTCACCCCTACACCTTAAACGCCTTACTCAAACCCTAAAGCCCTGAAGCCCTGAACCCCGAAACCCTTAACCCTTAAACCCTAAACCCTAAACCTACAAACCCTATAAACCTATAAACCCTAAAGCTGTAAACCTTAAAGCTGTAAACCCTAGAGCTATAAACCCTAAAGCCCTGAAGCCTTGAAAGCCCTGAAGCCCCTGAAAGCCCGAAAGCGAGGCCTCCCCCGTGGAAGCTCCTCCAGGTAGCAAGACCTTCGACGTGTCTGTGATGGGAGGCCAAAAGGGGGGGGTTAAGATTCTTAAGTGGGGTATGGGGATTAGTTTTTTTTTGGGGGGGCCCTTTTCGAACTGCAGAACAATGGAATAGGGTTTAGGGTTTAGGATATAGGGCTTGGAGTTTAGGGTTTAAGATTCTTGGGGTAGGGATTCCTGAATATGAACCCTCCCCAAACCCCCATAGACTAAAACCCCTCTTAGCCTCCTATGAGTCTGCGAGGCTTCTCATGAAGGCTTGTGCTTTAAGGCTTTCGGTGCTTCAAAGCTTTAGGGTGTTTCGGGGACTTAAGGCCTTAGGGTTTCGAAGTTTTAAGGCCTTATAGTTTTAGGGCCTTAGGGCCATCGGGCTTTAGAGCTTCAGGGCTTGAGGGTTTAGGGCTTCGAGGGTTGGGGTTTGGCAGACCGCGCCCAGCTCCCCACAGAAGGAGACAGGTGCTGGGCGGGTTTAGGGCTTGAGGGCTCAGAGGGCTTAGGTTTCAGGGCTTAGGGTTGAGGGTTCCATGTACCATAGGGGTTCTTAGTTAAGGGTTTTGCGCTTTGCCAACAACATCTCGCAACGGATAAACACAGTCAATACATCCTTCTTTTCTAGGCCCCCTATACACCAAACCCTTGTGAAACTCTCACAAAACCATAGCGAGCACTCTAAACTATAGGTCAATCCCGATTAGAGTGCTTGAAGAATCAGCATTAACATCTTGCAACATCCCTCTAAGGACCTATGCTAGTTACGAAGGCCCCTTTCTTCAAGACCTTCAACCTATGCCATGTTCATTCCAACACTAGCCGGCCCCGAGGCAAGCGCTCCGAAAGGCAGCTCCTCTCCAACACGGAAGCCGGTGACGAAGGTGGGCCCGTCCAGGGCCTAGAGCAAGGGTTGCAAGGGTTGCTCCCCAAATTAAAAATACTGTTGATCAAATAAATCCTGCATTGCCTTTAACTTAAGGACCCTAAACTATTGGAATTATGGTATATTCCTTATTCTGGGTAATGCAGGATTTATATCATCAACCGTAGGGCCCCATTTCGAAGCCCAAACGAAAACGAGGCGGCAGCGATTCAAATGACCCTGATTAAAAAGGGCCATCATTTAGAGAACTACCCTCATAGGGCTGGGGTGGTAGGGCTCTATCAGGGGTACCGTAAGTGATCAAGGGGTTTGGGCTTCAGGGTCGTTTGAGGGTTTGCAGGCTTTGGGCTGATGGGGCTTTAGTTCAGTTTACAGCTTTGGGTTTTTTTCGGGCAATAAATAAATAAGGTTCACTTGCACCGCCTGGGGCCCCTGTGCCCAACATCACTTCCACCACCAAATCAAAAGGCACCTCGAACCCCTTCTAAAGCTATGCCTTTTCGGCTCTACTATAAGAACCCTAGGGCAACCAAGCAAGTTCAAGATCTAAGACTTACTAAGGGGCATTCCTTAAATCATACGGGATCCTTCTTATGATTTATGTAAGGTATAGTCCTTAATTCCCCTATGGAACCCTGATTAAACAGGAACCCTCTGCCCCGGCGATCCCCGAAATCCTAAGACCCTGAGCCCGGAGATCCTAAACCCTAAAACCCTACACCCTAAGACCCCAGACCCTCATGGGAAGTGTGGGAAGTCCCCCAAAAACAGAACTATACTGAACTTAGAACCCTCGCAAAAATTAGGGTTTTAGCTGTTTCTTCGGGATTATAACAACCAAAGATTAAAAACTATTTCTAAGTACCCCTGAGAGAACACATAAGCGCCTTAAGCTCACCGTCGCGGGTTTGCAGCTCCCAGATGTTGGACGGAAGCACCTCCGAAGGCGGAGCTCAAGCTTTCATAAGAGCTCTACAGGTTCTAGAAGGGCTATGTCAGGGTTCTATAAAGGTTCTAGCAGAGTTTAATGAGGGATCTACAAGGGTTCCATACGGGTCTGTGCGAAAAGGGTTTAAGGGTTTGGAGGTTCAGGGCTCTAGGGCTGTAAGATTCTTTCGCTCTAGTGGCTTCGAACAAGGCTGTAGACCTAAACCGCCACTGTCCTCCAAGGTGTGGGGCTGGGGTTCAGGCTGTGGGGTTTGGGCTCTTCTGGTGTTTTCTGGAAGGGGTGGAGGGGGGGGGTGGTGGATAGGGTGGGGTGGGGGGGTAGGGTTAGGGTTTGGGGTCTGGGGCTTAGGGTTTGGGTGAGGGTGTCGGGAGATGTATAGCAAAGGGGAAGACTTCAGGCCTCAAGGCAGCTTTCACGGCCCTGCATTTCCCTGCACCCTAAACCCCAAACCCTTAAACCCCTAAACCCCAAACCTCTAATCCTTCAAACCCCTAAACCCTAAACCCTTAAACCCCTAAACCCCAAACCCCTAGGTTGGCCTTTAAACACCCTGAAAAATATTTATATATAGGGTCCCTTATAAACCCAAATAGAGAAAATAAAAAATGTCCCAAAATCCAACCTAGTAAACTCCCGAAGATCAAAAGGCTCCAGCTGCAAGCCTCCAAGGAGACCCAAAAACACGAATCCCGAACTTACTTTTGGTTACTAGGGAATGGAAGGGGCCTTATAAAGGGGTCTATACGGGTACTATAATTTAATTTAGGGGCCTTAACAAATCCTATAACTTACCTTTGGTTAGTAGGGAATGGAAGAATGGTAGTAATTCCTGGTGTTCCTGATCGGACTCCAGCGCCCTATATGAACCCCCAAAAGGAACTACGGAATGGAAGAATGGTAATGATAGTAGTTCTAATTCTACCCCCATTCCTCCATTCCCTACTAACCAAAGGCAAGCTAAATGCTAAACCAAGCTAAACCAGCCCTAAACCCTAAACCCTGAACCGTTCTAGGGCTTTTCAGGGTTCCCCCGTGTAGTGACCGTAATTGGTGTCAGGGGATTTGGCGAAACTAAGAGTCAGTGATGGGTCTAGGCCGATAACCCAGCATGACATGAACGTTTACCATCGATAGCAATGGCAACATGAACCGAAAGGAATACTCATGGCAACAAAACAGCAGCAGTGATAGTAGAACCTGCGCTGTTGATATTACTGCCACTTTCGTGGAATGATCTTGTGCCCCGGCCTCAAAGCCCTGTTCCATGGGGTTCAGCACCTTGCAGGCAGGCTTTCCAATCCCGGTCTTCTAAGCAGGGGTCTTGGTTCAGCAGGGTTTAGGGTATCTGGGTTTAGGGGCGTAAGGTTTACGGGTTTAGGGCTTTTGGATTTAATTTTTGTTGAGCTCCTTTTCTGCATCGCCCGAAAGGTCTGCGAGGCTTCAGCAAGCCTGGATTTAGGGTGTAGGGTTTAGGACTATTGAGGTGCAGGGCTTAGTCCTAGAAAGGAGTCAATTTTTGCAGCCTCATGTTGTAGTGCATTTCTGAATCTTGGGCTGTTCGGGTCGATGGGTGAAAGCTTCAGGAAATTTCACGGGACAGTTGTTAGGGGTCTGGGATCTGTGTAGGGCTTAGGGCTAGGGTTCACAATCTGGGGTTTCGGGATCTACAAGTTGGGGCTGTAGGACGCGGCGTGGTGCTGGAGGGTATTACCAGTAGTATTGGGCTGGAGTAACATGTATTTCTGCAGCTATCTGAAAGGAGCCCGGATCAAACGAGCAGAATGCACTGCTGCTGCTGCTGCTGCTGTCGTTAACACGATAATAAATTAAGTACCATGTCTACCCAGTGCTGCGCATCTCTAAAAACCAGCATCACTGGACATCATATCGCCGTGCTTCGGCCCGATCTTTCTCACGTAGCCCGCACTACTGCCATGTTCAATGTCGGTTGCTATTCTTACCACCATTCCCCCAGCCGCCAGCCCGAGGCCCTGAACCTCAAACCATCACACCCAGGCCTCCCCAAGACTAACGTAGACGCCTGCTGAATCATCCCCCGTCCCTTGAGGTCCCTATAGTAGGATCCCTGCCAGAATCTGTTGAGTTTATAAACGATTGTAAGCCAGGCCTACATTACTGCTGTAAATCAAGGCAAGTCTGCGAGTGGTCGTTGAACCCTAAGAACCCAAAATGTGCACACTCAGACACCTTAACCCTAAACCTAAACCCTAGACCCTAAACCCTAAACCCTAAACCCTAGACCCTAAACCCTAAACCCTAAACCGCCCTAAACCTAAAAGCCTAGACCCGAGTTCGAAACCGCAATCCTCAAACCCGCGACTCCCAAACCTCACCCTCGAACCCTCAACCTCTCCCTAAACCATAATTAAGCCCTGAGCTTCCTTTAAAAGGGTAATGAGCACCTGAAGCCTTAAACCCTCGAACCCCCAACCCTTAAACAAAAAAGGCATGAGCACCTCACATAAACCCTCGACCCCCCCCCCAACCCAACCCTAAACCCTAAACCCTAAACCCTAAACCCTAAACCCTAAACCCTAAACCCCAACCCCTTAAAAAAAAGGAAACTAACTGGAGCTCCAGGAGCCGAATGGATGGTCACGGAATACAGCTCTCCGGCATTTAGACCTGCGTGGGTCTCGGTTTAGAGTTTAGGGTTTAGAGTTTAGGGTTTAGGGTTTAGGGATACTATACTGAACTTAGAACCCTAGTAAAAAAATATAAAGTCACAGAAAGCCCATAGAACCTCTCTATACTGAACTTAGAACCCTAGCAAAAAAATATAATTCTAGCTGTTTCTTAGGGATTATAATAACCAAAAATAAAAAGTTATTTCTAAGTACCCCTAAGTCCCTATAAGTATAGCTCACTTAGGGAGGAATTCGGGAGATTGGGGTTGCTTCCGGGTTTAGGGTTTGGGGTTTAGGGCCTAATGAGGGTTTGGGGTTTTTTGGGCTTTCAGTGTTCGGGGTGTAGGGAAGTTTGGGGCCTACTTAGGGAGTCTGAGGATATCCGAGTCCAGGGTTTAGGGCCCAATTAAAGAGCTCGAGGTTGGGGGTTTGGGAGTTTGGGGGGTTCCGCGTTTGGGATTTACGGGGTTTAGGGTTTGGGGGTTTGGGGTTTCCGAGTTTTGGGATTCTGGGTCGAGAGTCTATCGGTTAAAGGGTTGAGGGGTTGAGGGTTTACGGCTTAGGGTGTAGCATCGTCTACGTGTAATTGGAACAGGGTTTGCTTAATTGTGGGAGGGGCATTATGCGGTTTTGAGGGGAGGGAAGAGTATCTGGGTTTCTGGCGATCATGATGCGATGGAAGGGTGCCTTGTCGGACCTTTGCACATCGAGCTGCAATTCTGGTTGCCTTGATACTCAGGACGATGATGGTGTTGTTGCTGACGGTGGAAAGGACGACGAAGGTTGACAACACTCACCAAAATAGTGCTTCTGCTTTCTGACTGAGGGCTGCGATGATGATTTGGGGCACCCCTTAGATTCCAAGTGCAAGCCCGCAAAAACTCCTTCAGCCCTTAACCCTAAACCCCTTTCCTTTACTGGACCCTGAGTTCAAGCCTTTCATTCCCTAGTAAACCCTACACCCTAAGCCATCACATCCTAAACCTTAAGCCCCAGATTTGACCTTTTGTCGGTGCCTGGGGCATCGTTGGACTCCAGCAGCACCAGTTGAACCTCTCGAGCTGTCACGACCTGGGAGGGTGCAGGGTCTTAGGATTCAGATGCCTTTGAGGATTCTAGAAGTGTTCCATAAGCGTCGTGGGTCTTGGTAGAGCATAGGGTCGGTTGGGGTTTAGGATTCAAGGTCTTCGGGTTTCTATAGTAGGGTTCCTAGAAGGATTGTGCAAAGGTTCTAAGGGCTTTGCAGGGGTTTGGGTTTGGATTTCTGGAGTTTGAAGGCTCAGGGTGCTGGGGTCTTAGGCCTTAGGGTGGGAGTTTAGGATTGTAAGACCTTTGGGGTTTATGGGTTTAGGGCTTAGCGGCCTGTGGGGGGGGGCAAGACAGGCTTTGCTGGAGTTGGGGACAAGGGGCTTCAAGGCTTGGGGCGCCACCTGAAAGGCATCTGGTTGAAGGTTTACTAACTTAGGGTCCGGGGTTTAGGGTTTAGGGTCCAGGGTTTAGGGCTAAGGGCTCCAACAAAGGGATCGTGAGCTTAATGACACGGCGAGAAGAACTCGTTGCTTCAGCCTTGTGAAAAGCCGGTCGGGAGTAGAAGAAGCTCGTCCGACTCCGCAATGCCAAGGCATGGCCAGTGCAGAACAAGTGGCAATGTCAGGCACGTGAAGTGCCCCGTTCACGGCGAAGAAAGGGATGGGCAGTGCTGCCATTTCAACCGTTCGTATAACTCCGTGACGATTGGCTCGTTGATGTTGCCTTCCGCAAGCATCCATTTGAAGAAACGTTTCCCCTCCGCCCTCAAGCTGCCGGAGGCGCCGGAGGTTTTGAGGGCAGGCCATGATCTCTCACTTTCCAGCCAACCTTCAAGAAAATGTGAGCGCTTCACCTGGACCCTACAATCCGCACACGGTCAAGCCTCAACTCAAACGTAGGGTGGATGATTTCCTAACCTCATAAAACCCTCCAAAACCCTGCGAGGACCTGCACGCAACCTTCAAAATGACTCGATTAGCAAAAGCAACCTTCTAACCAGAAAGGAAACCAAAACCTAACAAAACAGCCATAAAGCAAACAACTATCACCATAACACACCGAAGTAACCTGCAATGTCACAGAAAGCCCATAGAACGTCTCTATACTGAACTTAGAACCCCAGCAAAGATCATAATTTTAGCTCTTTCTTTGGGATTATAATAACCAAAAATCAAAAAATATCTCTAAGTACCCCTAAGTCCCTAAAATTAAAAAAATCTAAGTACCCCTAAGCTCTTACAAAAAAATAGTTCAGAGGCTCAGAGCTCGACCTTGCAACGAAGCAAGGAAGCCTCCCCGCGGAGCGACTCTTTTGGGGCTCGGGGCTTGCCCAGAGACTCCAAGACCCCTTAATTAAGAAATATTCCTTAAATTATGGTAGGACCCCTTATATGATTCAAGGTATAGTCCTTAATTAAGGGATATTGGAATCTCAGGGCTTGGGGTTCTTCAGGCTTGTGTGAGCTTAGACTTCAGGGTTTAGGGTTTAGGGATTGGGGTTTGGGGTTTAGGGTTTACGGTTTGAGGTTTAGGGTTTAGGGTTTGGGGTTATAGACTTCAGGGTTTAGGTTCTTCATTTTTTTGCGGGCCCTTGTCCGACCGCATTACCAGAGGGAATACCTAGGGTTTAGGGTTTGGGGTTTGAGGTGTCGGGTTTAGGGTTGGGGTTTAAGGTTTAGGGTTTAGGGTTTAGGGTTTGAGGTTTGGGATTTAGGGCTTAGGGCTTGGGGTTGGGAGTTCAGGGCGTAGGATTTAGGGTTCAGCGGTTAGGGTTTAGGGCCTAATAGGGTTTCACGGTCTGGGTCTGAGTGAGTTGGGTTTGGGGTTCAGGGTTGAGGGTTGTGAAGGTCTTGGGTGCGAACAGCGGCATTATATATTAATAATAAGGCTCTACAGAGGCTTTCAATTGCAGCGTTTTCAGGGTTTAGGGTTTAGGATTAAGGGCTTGGGTTCCAGAGCCTTGGGCATGTCGAGCTTTGTCTTTCTGACCTTTGGCTTTCCAAACCTTATGAGCCCCTTAAAACCCGAGCTAAAGCCCTCGAAGACCGCGTTGTAACAATTAATTAAACCCTATAAGAAACGATAAAGTAAAACCCTTGCAGAGCCTGGGTGGTGCATTTACGGCTTGGGTCGTCGTGATTAGGTTAGGGTTTACTGCTTAAGGCTTAGTGTGTCGGGCTTCGGACGAAGATTTGGGCTTGTTGGATTCAACTTTCAATATCTGCAACGCCCAAAGCTCGGAAACCACATAGTAGGAGCTCCAATGCCAACAGAAAGAAACACAAGACTTCGCAAGGTCCTGAGCCCACACAACTAACTACGCCCTGAATGAAGCCCCTAGACCCCAGCAACACCCTCAAACATCCCGTAACCTGAATATCACCAGCCTTCAAAGTCGTAAATGTCCGCTATCTGTCATGGATTTTTACGGACGGGTTTAGTGTGTATGACCCCTCCATATAACCCTGAACCCGAAACCCTGAGCCTTGGCCTTTCGAACCCTAAGCCTCGAAGCCTAAACCCAAAACCCGAAGGCCTGAACCCAAAGCCCAAAGCCCTAAACCCGAAACCCTGAAGCTCTAAACCTAAACCCAAAGCCCTAAACTGCGGGACTTTTGAACCCCAAGCCCTGAACCCTAAGTCCCGTAAATCCTATTATAGACTTGGGTGGCTGTCAAAATTCGTGTCCCTTTTTGAATACCCCAAATATTAGGTGCCGTATTATATGAAGGACCCAAAAGGGGACGCTAATTTTGACAACCCACCGAGGGACCCCGGGATTCCAAGTGCAGACTTGCCTCGATCGCTTGTGCGGAAATCGCCTGATGCGGAGCACTACGGCCTTGAAGGCTTAGGACCTACGGTGGATGATATAAATCCTGCATGACCCATTACAAGGAATATACAATAATTCCCATAGTTTAGGGTCCTTAAGGTAATGCAGGATTTATATCATCAACAGTAGGACTCTTGTCTTAGCTTGAGGCTGGACATCCAGGGGCTTGGGGTTGAGGGTTCAGGGTTTAGGGCTTGGGGTTTATAGGGTTCAGAGTTAGGGCTTGAGGGTTAACGTAAAGAAATATTTACGATAAAAAACCCCATCATCATCCCGATATGACGCCTCTCAAAGAAAGAGGGGTTGGGGTTCGCTGTGTCAAGTTCCTGTTTAAAGGCTTCAAAAATGAGGCCTTCAAGCACATCTTAGGGGTTTCGGGTTTGGGGTAGAGGAATGGGGTATGCGATTCATTGCGGTTCACTAGCAAGTTTGGGATTCATACTTCAACCTTAAGCGCTAAGCCTCTAAACTCTAAACCCTTATCCTAAACCTCTAAACCCTAAAACCCTAACCCCTTGTACTTCGGCACTGAAGAATGCCGGAATCCGAATCTTCACCTGAAAGACCCAAACTCCGAAACCTACAGACTGCAGGCAGAAGCCCCCAAACTAACCAGTGGTTTTGGGGTTCCATTGGCTCTTTAGCTCCTTATCTAGTAGGGATTATCATCATCCCTGGCTCCTTAGCTCCCCCAATACCAATGGTTAGCAAGCCTCAAACAATAAACCCTAAAACCCTATGGTAGAAGCCAGAAAGTTGGCACACAAGTACCCTCATGCCCTTCAGGTAAAGTTTCAGGGATCCTAGCGCTAATCCTCCTAAACCCATCTTCCAACTGTCTGGGTGTCGCTACAAAAGCCCTAAACTCTAAACCCTAAACTTTGGCTTTTTGGCTTTGGTGGATCTTGTGCTGTAGAAGTCCGGCGCAAGATCTGGGCCTTGGTTTAGGGTTTAGGAGTTTAATTAGGGGTTTAGGGTATCAGAGTTTAAAGGGCTTAGGGTTTGGGAGTTTAGGGTTTCGGGATCGGAGTTTAAAGGGCTTAGGGTTTAGGAGATCAGGGTTAGGAAATCAGAGGAGCCCTGCTCACGAGTACATGGGAGTTACCCAAAATAGGGGACTGTGGTATAGCGCCCTAAACAGTAGGATCCTTCTTACAAGGACCCCAAAATAATGTACGAAGAATTTGATGGAAGTTTTCGCATTACTCCTAAAGGAGCCCTCCAAGGAGCCGTCAAAGGAAGCCTACACAAATGATGGTCCCCTTTTTTGGGTCCCTATTATGATACGGCACCTATTATTTAGGGTACCTGAAAAGGGACCTCTGTTTTGCCAACTACCCAAAATGAAAAGGGACCCCTCGCGGTTGGGACTCGCAAGCAGCAGCTCGACAGCCTTGTGCTGTCTTCACCCCTTCTACCCAGAGACTCCCAAACCCCGTATGCTAAGGAATATGCCTTAGATTATAGCGGGGTTCTCATTATCCCAGAGGCTCCATGTACCTTTATAGCAGATACTTAAGCCTTAAGGGGTCCCTATATAGGTACTTTAAGGCTTAAGTATATACTATATGGGTACATGGAGCCTTAGGGTATTATGGTTCAAGGCACATTCCTTAATTCAGAGGTTTTGGAGTCGATCAAGGACCCTAAATCTCTAACCCTCCAAGCTCGGAAACGCCAAGCCATAAGTCCCTGAACCCTCAACCCTGAACCTGGGTCCCAAGCCTTAGGCTTTAAACCTAAGTCCCCGACTCTTAAACTCTATATAAACCTTAAAATCTCAGCCTTTACTGTAATTAATTAGGTCCCTAAACCCTAGCCCCCCCCCCCTCCCCCCTGCGGCCTGTCCGAGCTGCAATGCCGAAGCTGAACAGGGCTCCTCATCGAAAGTTAGCCAGTACTCACGTACCCTACGCGACTGCAGCATGTTTGGGCTTTTCGGTTTACGGTTTGGGGGTCCATGCCATATTGGGCCCTAGTCAGTTTTGGTCTTTAGAAGCTTCATGAGCTAAGTACAGGTATGTACAGGCATGCATACCCACGTACATACATACCTGCATACCTACCTACATGCACTACATCGCTTCCTTGCTACTGCTACATAGATATGGCAACATAGCCCCATACCTGCACACCTTACAGACACACATACCAACATCCTGCATGCATGGCCACAGAACTACTTTCCCACCAACCGTTCCCTGTCTGCATGCATGCAATAATACGGAAAGGCAGGCAAACAGGCAAACGGACTAACATCAATGCTGCAATACATGCATGAATGTGAGGAAAATGTACACAACTCGTACACTGAAACCTTATAAATCTTCAACCAAAAACCAACAGCCCTAAACCGCTTGAAAAGCTGGATGCTACGGCTCCTGAAAGACGAAGTCGCTAGGACTCCGGATCAGGAGCGTGCCGCCGACGGGAACTGCCTGATCGGTCCTTCGGTTGATGATATAGATCCCTAGGGTTCGTTTAAAGGGATCTATAAGGGTACCTTTAAGGGGTTCCTTTAAGGGATCTACAGGGTTTTAGGGCTTATAGGGTTGGTGATATAAATCCTGCATTACCTTAAGGACCCTAAACTATGGGAATTATGGTATATTCCTTAATAAGGAATAATATTATGGGTAATGCAGGATTTATATCATCAACCGTTCGAACGGTGCCAAGAGGGTGTAGGGTTCAGGGCTTTAGGAGTTTTAGGAGAGTACGATTCAAGGCTTAGGGAGTTCAGGGTTCCGGGGGTTTAGGGAGTTTAGGGTTTTGAAGGTAGTGTAGACAGGCCGTGGACTCCCACCGAGGCCGGGCAAAGTTGAAATGCCGGACCGCGACGTTGAGTGCTGGAGCGAAGCGGCCATTGTCCTTGTCCAAAACTAGTTTCTGGAGCCACACGAGTTTGTCCTGCCACTCATGGCTGTTCATGATCGAGGGGATGACACTGTGCTTGTTCTGGCAAAGGACCGCCTCGGATTTCTCGAAGGAAGTCTGGGCCAGTCCAGCAAACGTTCTGAGAACGTGACCGGGGACCTTGCACACATACCCCGCATCATCCTCGCGGAGCGGGACAGCTGTCACTCGTAGAGGCCACGATGACCTGCTTGATGTGGCCGAACACAGCCTCGTCCAAGCAGCCCCGGCTGCCGGCACAGAAGTCTTTGAAGCCCTTCAAGACCGAGTCTTTCATTCGCCGGCAGCTGTCGACAGGGGCGCCAAGAACTAGAATAACAAAGTTTGGGGTTCCATGTTTGTAGATGTATAACTAAGGAGCCCTTAGGAATACTGTTGATACAGATTCAGGCTTCCACATTACAGGGCTTTGAGGGTTGCGGGTTACGTATGCGCTCAGATCTTGCGCTGTGGGTCTAGGCTCAGTGTGACACAACCCTAAACCCGAAACCCTAAATCCTTGAACCCTCCAACGCGAAACCCTAAACCCTTGAAACCTTAAACCCGAGACCCAAAAATTGCCCTAAACCCTTAAGCCCTTGAACCCCAAATCTCTAATCCTCTAAACCCTAAGCCCTAAGCCCTAAGCCCTTAAACCCTTAAACCCTTAACCCCTTGAACCCCAAACCTCTAATCGCTTAAACCCTAAGCCCCAATTCTGCCAGGTTTTCGCAAGCTCAGGGGGATTTTGTATTCGAAGCCGTGAGCGATGGCTGGTTTGGGGGGCCACAGCGGTACAGAAAAGGGGTATCTTGTAGTCGAAACCTTGATTGATGGTTTGGGGTTTAGGCTTTCAGCTTTACTCTTTAGGGTTTAGGTTTTAGGGTATAAGTTCAGGGTTTCACCACCACTCCCTGTTATCGCATGACTAGGCATAACTGGCCGCAGATGCGAGTGCGTTTGGCCCCAACTCGAAGCACTGAACGGAGAAGTTCCAGACCCCCAGCCGCACAACCCCTTAAGCCACAACATCCTAAGCCCTGAACACTGATACCTGGACCCCAAAAGTATGTAGAATGATAGCCTTTCAAAGGTATTGGGCCACTATCTTACCTACTTTGGGGGGTTTTGGTATTCTCAGCGCCCAAATCTTCCCCATCTGCACCAAACTCCCGACTCCCAACCCCGCAGCGGCTCCGAAAGGCCACCGTAACTGGCCCACTGGCCGCCCTCATCGAGGTGAAGGCCGCGACGCTAGCCCTTGGGGGAGGCAAGTTTGGAGCTTAGGATTCTTTTCGGGTTTAGGGTTTCTGGCCCTAATAAATCCTGCAAAAGGGGGGCGTCGGAAACGCTTAAGGCTTAAGATCTGGCCATAAGGGTCAAGGGTTTGGAACTCGAGCTTGGGTACCGGGATTTCGGTGGTTGTTCGGGTTCAGGATAGCCTTCTTCTTGCAAGCTTTCTGCAGTGGTCAGCTGGGGCCTCATGCCGGAAGCCTACGCGTCCGCGGGTGCAAGCTGCAGCGTGTTGGGGTTCAAGGTTTAAGTGTTTTGCATGAAGCCTAAGACCTAAACCCTTTGGGTAGTGTTTGGGGCTCAGTTCAAGGTTTAGGGGCTTCTTGTGAAACCTAAGTCTCACGAGTTGCTGGGTTCTTCTGAGGGAATCTGATGTAGGCACCACAATAGGGATCTATAGTAAATCATACAGATCCCTTGCTATGGTAACTCAAGTTCAACTCCCGGAGACGAACCGCAGTTTTTTGCCGGGCAGGGTGCTCCGTCAGCAGCTCCAGCCGATATGCCTGCGGACAAGGGGCTTCCGAGCTGAGTTCGGGTTTTGGGCTACTGAAAGGATCATGGGACTTAGTAACTAGGGTTATAATTAGGGTAGCTATACTTATAACCCCAATTAAGGTACTTATAACCTTACTTACTAAGTCCCATGATCCTCCAAGTAGGTTTAGAGTTTTTGGGTTTGGGGTTTTGGATTTCGGGTCTACAGGGTTTGGGGAGGTCTCGGCGCTACCTTGACTGCCATACGCTCAAAGCACTCAGTTGACTCAAAGCCTACTTGGTGTTTGTGCGTCGTTAGAGTCTCTAGGTGTTTTGGTTCTAGGGTTAATTAAGTATTTCAACTTAAACCTTTCGGTAAAGGTTTTAGGCTTTTCTTAGACTACTGAGATTTGAGCCCTAGAAATGAGGATCCCTGGAATGCAGCATCCAAGCCCGTCGACGACCCAGACTAAGCCACGTGGACACCCGTCAGACTGTTACCCAAGAGCCTGAACAGGGGCGTCTGGGGGGATTGTATGGAACCGTTAGTATATAATACACTGCCTTGCTAATTAGAATAGGGCTCCTTTAAAGGGATCCTTAAAGAATTCTATAAGGGAGAAGGGTACTACAAAGTATAGTATATAGGCGCCTTGAAAATTAGAATTGGGTTTTGGGGCCAATAATACTTTAAACATAATAAGGAACCCCCCAAAATAGTATTGGTAATTATTTTGGCCCCTATGGAATCGTTAGCATACACAGTTGTATAGGGGCTGACGAGACGCTGATAACATCTCTCTGACTTTGAAGACATGCAAATTTTTGGGAATCGTCGCTGCCGAGTAAGAAGCAGTGCACCTGGAGCGTAATGTAGGGGTAAACTATTTATATATATATATATATATATACTACAAGTACAATAAAGTATCCCGAACATAGCATAGGTAATTATTATAGGCCCCTTTGTTAAACCCTGAGAATCCTGCGTCCCGAGTCCGAGACTACGAATCAGCTCTGCGCCCAGGAACCTGATCCCAGACCCCAAACCCTCACCCCCAAAACCCTGAACGCCAGAAGCGACAAGTCCCGAAACCCTACCCTAAACGCAGCAACTACGCCCTCAAACCCCAGCCCCAGACCCACAGCCTCAACCCCCTACAACCCAAAAGCCCTGCCTGCAGACTTCCGGTTTCGTAGCGCTGTCCCAATGCACCTGGCAGAGTGCTTTCATCGGATCTCAGCCAAAACTAAACTGAACTTAGGACCCTAGCAAAAATCCAATTTTAGCTGTTTCTTAGGGATTATCATAACCAAAACTTAAAAAATGATTCTAAGTACCCCTAAGAAGACCCGAAGGTTTCCAAGCCCAGGCTCAAGGTTTCTTGCTTTGAACACCTTTTCCTCCGAGCAGTTAAGGTCGGCGGAATCCACAAAGGTTGAGGGTTTAGGGCCAACAATGGGGTTTAGGGTTCAGGGTTTAGGGTCCGGGGTTCAGGGTTTAGGGATTTAGGGTTCAGGGTTTAAGGTCTGGGGTTCAGGGTTTAGGGATTAGGGTTCAGGGTTTAGGGTTTAAGGTTTAAAGCGTAGGGTTTAGGGCCAACAATGGGGTTTAGGGTTTAGGCGGCAAACCCTGAACCCTAAAAAACCTGAACGGCGAGAACCTGGGACTTCTTGAACCCTGAGAGCTCGACCGTGAAACCGCCATGCCCTGAAGCCTGCACACTGACGCCCTTAATTATGCCTCAAACCCTAAAGGCCTAGAGCCCTTTGAAACCGTGGACCTGATGTAAAAAAGCTTTACAAACCCTGTGATCACCCTTCTAACGTTTTGGGGCCTGCATCCGTGCCAGGGCCATAGGTCTCAAGCATCCAGTAGTACACCTCAAAGCACTCGAAGGCTCATCTTTGAAAGGGTGCCATGGGGGCTTCCTGAGGTTTCATGGGGCCTCTTGCTTTCTCCATTCCTGCTTGTCGGGTATCATGGGGAACTAAAGGTTAACCTTTTTGGTTATATAGGGATAATATAGGGACTAGACTGCCCCAAAAAAGTTAAAGGCTACCTACTCGACTTCTAGGCATTGTTTCTTCCGGGCTTCTTTGGCCCTCAGGGTTTGTATGGTTGGCTTGAGTTTTGTAGGGTGTTTATAGGGCTTTATCGCTATAACACCGAGTCCTTAATAAGCAGAATAGGGTTTGGTGGGTAAATTGCACTGCAGAAGAACAGCGAAGAATCGAAGAGCTACAGACGATCTATAAGGACATAATTACAAACAACCAGGACCATATACTTGCTGGACAGCAGCACCCATACACAAGAACTGCGCAATAGATATTGTTAATGCTAGCAACAATATTCAAATAATCAACATGAGGGGAGCAAGGGAGGAACATCAATGTTCCGTGGAAGAGCGCATAGAGGACCTCTCTTACGCAATGCATGCGGGAGCAGAGTCATACTTACTTGAAGAAGCTGAAACCGATCAGAACGGCGATCATTAGTGACACGAGCCCGGTTGAGCACGAAGGAATTTCGGCTTTTCAGATGGCATTTTCGCGGAAGTAAATGATGCAATGAAGCTTCATGGCCACTGGATACTCCAAACTGAATATGCCCCAAGAATGTCTTTGTTACGGGCCCTTTCTAACCCTAACAAGAACCCATATAGAAACCCTCTAGACTCTAGGGGACCCACAAACCCAAAACCCTACAGTCCTAAACTTGGCCCTAAACCCTGCATACCGCTAGACCCCAGACCCTCAGCCCCACAAGCAACGCTCTTGAGCTTCCAGGCCGGGGGTGGCGTGCTTGGGGTTTGCACCCGCGCTTCGAAGCCGTAGGTAGGGCCGGGCCTAGGGTTCGTGTTGCTCCATTTTTTCGTTTAGGGTGTAGGGCTTAGGGTTTTTGGGTTTAGGGTTTAGGGCTAATGGCTTTGGGTTTAGGGTTAAGGGCTTAGGGTTTTGGGGTTTAGGGTCACGGGCTTAGGGTTTTTGGATTTAGGGTGCGGGATCCGGGAACGATTTGCCACTAGCCGCCTTTCTTTTAAGCACCTGCAAGCTGGAATCGAAGTTTAGGGTTTTCAGCGGGCTAAGCCGCAACCGTCTAGAAGTCCAGAACTCATGGCACAACCACGCTGAACACGGTAATGAGGCCGCAAGGTAGGGAGGCATAGAGGCATGCAACAGAACACTGGGACAAACTTCTCAGACTTCCTTCGAGGCCTCATGACAAACCGGTGGATCAGGCGACTCTTGTTACTACTATCGATGTTGTCATTCTGATAAGTCCGGCTGTGGTAGTCAGTCTGACGCCCATTGACTAGTGCACCAAGCTGCTCAACGGATCGGGTTGCAGGTCCTGAAATCTCTCAACTCACGTCTGGATTCTTGCATGTTTTGGTTTAGGTACCTGCGTTTAGCTGCCATGATAAGGAAAGTATTTGCTGTACTCTATATATTCCCTGCTGTTGAAACTTCCTTTGAGTTCCTGAGCCCATTCTAGAACACTGTAAAACCCTGTAACCCGGTTCGTGAGATTAGACCAGCAAGCCACGTCACCTTACCAGTGCCATGCCCCATACCTTAACAAAACACTCCCATAGAACCCTGGAAAGGACCCCTAAAGGATCCCTAAATATCGGCAGCCTCGAAAGTCACAACCCCAAAGGTCTTAAAAAGGCATAATTGTATCTCAAACAAACCCCAAACCCTAGACCCTAAAACTCAAGCGTAGACCACAAAGCCTAAACCCCTAAAGATCCCTTTAAGGATGCCTTTGTTGATGAAGGAAGCCTCAAAAAGAACAGAAACCGAACGCCGCCGTGAACTTTCGCCCCTGGTCCGTTTAAGGATCCCTAAACCCTACCCTGAACCCTACACCCCTAAATCCCAACCCCTAGACCCTAAACCCCTAAAACCTTAACCCCCTGAACCCCTAAACGCCTCAACTCCTGAACCCGCAAACCCATAAACCCCTACACCCCTGAACCCCTAAACCCCTATTCAAAACCCTAAACCCTTAAACCCCTAAAACCTTAAGCCCCTAAACGCTTTAAAGGATCCCTTTTAAGACCAAGCCCCGAACTGCAAGGAATCGGTGAGCCGCAGGTGCAGCACACGACTGCTACCGTCAGCATCCACTGCCTTCAGCAAGGGTTTTTAGCTTGATTTAGCAAGGGCTTAGGCTTCAGGGGTTTTGCGGATTTAGGATCCACTGCCTTCAGCCAGGGTTTGCGTCGATTCAGCAAGGGCTTTGGCTTCCGGGGTTTGTAGGATTTAGGGTTTACGGTTTAGGGGTTTAGGGGTTCAGGAGTTTGGGGGTTTAGGGGTTTAGGGTCAGGCTTTAGAGCTTAGACGGTTTTTGTAAGCCAACTCTACGCGCTAAACCTAACATTCCAAATTCTAAACCTGCATAACCCTAAATGACTATATCTATATCTCTATATATATATATGTGTATTTTGTACAGATGTATAACTGCGTAAATGTTTATCAAGCTAGTTTATACTACGTTGCATCTTAGATATAATATATATATATATACATACATATATGTGTATATATAGAGTGCACTGTATAACAGTGTATACTCATGAGGAGGAAAGCCTGAACTGGAAGCGCGTCGTCGACTCGGAAGGCCGGACCTGCGGCGAAAGTTGACAGAGCGTTTCGGTTTCTGCTCTCTTTTTGAGGCTTCTGAGGTTTCAAAGGGTTCCTTAAAGGGTTCCTTAAAGGGTTCCTTAAAGGCTTGGGGTTTAGGATAGAGGGTTGAGAGTTTACGAGCTGCTTTGTTGCGATGCGTTTGCATGCTGAGAGGTTGCTTCCTTGGTGTAGGCGGTTTAGAGCTTCGAAGAGGCTTCTTCGGAGAGATTGGCCGCTTTGGGGGTTGGCTTTGGACTTTCGGGTTTTGGGTTATGGGGTTTAGGGTGAAGGGGCTAGGGCTGAACCTCATTTGGGGGTTTCCGAAAATAGGGGACCCTAATATAGTACCCTAAATAGTAGGATCCCTATTATACGGACCCCAAAACAAGGTACCCCTAATTTTCGGAAACTCCCATTTCAAAGTGGCTGGGAGTGCTGGTGAAGGAATAGGGCACAGGGACACTTGGAACCACCCCTAAACCCCGAACCCTATAAACCCAAACATCCCTAAACCCTAAACCCCTAAAAAGGGATCCCCTCGAAGGAACCACCGAGCTCCGGGCGAGGAATGAACTCCGAGGCCTCAAAGCGCCAGAAGAAAGCGGATGGAGCCGAGACCTTGTCTTTTCTTCTGGGTTTTTGGTTTAGGCTTTTTTTGAGCTACCTTTTGCACCTGCCTGATCATCCAAGCGAGCTTTAGGGTCTAGGGTGTAGGGTTTAGGGCTTTGGGTTCTCGGTGTAAGGTTTTAGGTCTTAGGGTGTAGGGTTTCGGCTTAATCCTGGAATGTTTTCAATAACCCCCTCCCCGAGGCTGTTTTGCGCGGGGGTCTCTTGGGGCAGGGTTTGGGGTCAGGGTGGCAATAATGCATACAGTAGGGTTTTGGGTCTGGGGTGTAGGATCTTCGGTTTAGGGTTTTGGGTTTAGGGTTCTGAGTGTGTGTATATACATATATAGTAACAATCACTAAACCAAAAGAATGCGCAGCAATGGGAAGCACTGCACACCTGGCGTAAAGTTGCTCCTAGCCGATCTGGCAAAGAATCTGCATACAATCAAGCATCGTCGTGTGTGTGTGTGTGTGTGCTGACTATTTCTCACTCTGCAGCATTCTGCAGCACCGACATCTACCTCGACAGGATAACTGCCACAGGTGTGTGTAAAGACTGACGCTCATTACCCTTGAGCTGTGCAAACCCAGATCATTGCCAGGACCCTCATGGCTGTAGGTGTGCTGACGGTGCTCACCACGCTGCTCTCCCGATTCCCGAACCCTTCACTCCAAACCAAGAGCTCCACACCCCAAAACTCAAAACACAAACCTCGAAACCCGAAACTCGAAACCCGGAGCCTGACTCTCTAAGCAGCCCTGAACCCCACAGCGTACAGCCCAAAGTCCCAGAAGTGTGCACCCTATCCTCGAGACCTGAAGCCCCAAACTGAAAACTCTGAGCTCCGAACAAACCTGATTAAGCACAAGCCCTAAGAACGAAAAAAACTAAATCCGAAGGCCTGAGCCCCATAAGGTTTCATTCAGGGTTTTAAGGTTTAGGGTTTAGGGTTGTTTCAAAAGAACATGAACCCAAAGGCCTAAGCCCGCAAAAATAAGTTGTTCCCACCTTGAGCACATCGTCGGGCTTCAGCTGTAACCCCAGGACGAAGAGCACCTGTGGGATGCATGGAAGGCATTCGCGCATCGCGGTGTGGGGCCTGCGGGATCTCCTTCAGAGTGTTGGGAAGAGGGTTGATGAAGATAGGGTTTCAGGGGATCTCAGTTCAGGACACTACGGTTCCTGCTTTGCTTGTCTCTGCTTTTCAATATGTGCCCTACCTGTGGTTATGCTCCAGATGTGCATATGCGCACACACATATACATGTAATATAATACAGAAAAGGTATATATGTGATCATGTTTGTATACATATATACCCGCTGACATACACATATACGCACACACATACACACACATCTGCATATATTTAGTCGGCGCTGACCCCGAGCCTAGCCCAGATCCCCAAAGGCTGACACCCTAAACTTTCACCCCACTCCGAGACTCCTTCAAGCAAAAAAGCTTAAACCCTAAACCCTGTAGGCCCTGCACCTCAAACACTGCATCGCAAACCCGTACACACCTTAAACACTGAATGAACCCTTTACCCCCAAGCACTTGCTAAAGATTTACAAACCCAGAGGGTCCATATTTACTACCATTAATTATGGAATTCGGTCCCAAAAGACCATCCCTAAAATGGTTTTGCGGGACCTAGTTCCATGATAGTAGTATATGTGAACCCTAAACCCTAAACCCTGTACCGTACCCTTTTCCCCTACACCCTAAACCCTACAGAACCCGCAAAGGAACCCTTAAAGGAGCCCTTACAGTAGTAGTATATATGGACCCTAAACCCTACAGAATCCTTAAAGGAGCCCTTACAGGAGCCCTTAAAGGAGCCCTTACAGTAGTAGTATATATGGACCCTCTTGAAAACCCTGCAGCCGAATCCGACCTGGACGGTTGTCAGGACATCGGCCTCGGCCGGAGAGTAGCAACAATTCGGGTTATGGGATTTAGGGTCTAGGGTTTAGGGCTTAGGGTCTAGGGTTTACGGTTTAGGGTCCAGAGTTTAGGGTTTAGGGTCAGAGTGTAGGGTTAGGGTCCAGAGTTTAGGGTTTAGGGTCAGAGTGGAGGATTTAGGGTTAAGGGTCCAGACTTTAGGGTTTTAGGGTCAGAGTCTGGGATTTAGGGTTAAGGGTCAAGACTTTAGGGTTTAGGGTCCAGAGTTTAGGGAGAGTTTGGGGTTTGGGTCTTGGGGACGTCTCGATTCAGGGTTTAGTATTTAGGGCTTCAGGTTTAGTGTTGGTCAGGTTTGTGGAATCATCGGTCTGAAACCTCGGCGACATGACCAATATCATCGAGGGACTCCAAAGGTCCACGGCTGGCTTCGGGTTGGCGGCAGCGCAGGGGCCATGGAGTTTTGAGTTAATCGCTTAGGGCCCAAATTTTAAACCCTACGGGCTGTAACCCTGAGACCCGCAACGGTCTGGAGGTGAGTAGCTTCGGAAAGCATCGATGCTGGAACAAGTCAACCCCAACCCCGAAGGCCTAATTCGGGTTCAGGGCTTAGGGCTTAAGCCCCGAACCCTATAATAGCCCCAACCCCAAACTTCCGAAGCCCCCCCAACCCCTGTAGACGAGACCCAATAAAACCACGGAGCCCTAAGAACACCTTTACAGAACTTGTTCAAAAGCCCCTCCGGGGCGCCGGGCCCTAGCGTCCGCGAGTATCACCGAAAAGCTGGGAAGTGCATTCGCATATAGCGCCAGCCACACGGTGTCCTGGCGGTGTCGCGAATCTCATTTTCAGGTATACTGGCATAATTCGGCTTGCAGTAAGAATGTATGCATGCATGCATGCATGTGTGTGCACATGTAGGTCGGTGGGTGGGTGGGTGGTTGGGTGGGTGGGTGGAGGTAGGTAGGTAGGTAGGGAGGTAGGTACGCAGGTAGGTACGCAGGTAGGTATGTAATATGCATTCCCCTGTGTATGTATGTATATATATATATAGATATATATATATATATACACACACACTTAGAAATACTTATATTTGTATGTACAGGCTAGTGCTATATAACGAACACCAGTAAATACCAATTCAGATTTTTGTGGTCCTCAAGATGCCCTTGTAAATGGTACCTGATATTATCGTTTCGGATCGGGTGGGGCTAAGTGATACGCTTTCGCGAGAGGGGGCCGGCGGCTGAGCTCCAGGCAAAGAGGTTTCGTGGGCTGAGGATGCCGGGGTTTCAACCTCTGCTCCGCTTTGACAGAAAGCCCAGATATGCTTTTGGAGATCCTTGCCAAAGCTCTGAAACCATATGGGTGTTTGTCAACATTAGGGACCACCCATATACAAAAAGCGTTCAGCAACTACGGGAGTGCTCAATAGTTGTATAGCAAACCAGCCCAGGAGGTTTCGATACAAAGCAAGAGCCGACAATTCCAACACCCGGAGCACTCTGCACTCTAGCAAGCCCGAAACCAGGAACCCTAACTCGACCTGCAGCACCTACTTTAAACTAAAATCAGTAAACTTCTGTAGTAACCCTGCGAGAACCCCTTCAAAGGAACCCTTCAATAAACCCCTAATCCTAATCGAATCAAAAAGGCCCCTGCTTGGAGCTTCGTTTGAAGGACCCTACATCCGGGAGCTCTCAAGAGTCGAGAATTTCGGGCTTAGAGCCCTTTAGAGGACCTATTCGAACTATTGAGGCCCCTGAAGTCTCGTACCCTTATGGATCCCTTGCAGCAACCCTTAGGGACCCCTTTAAAGGAACCCTCTTCGAACTATTGAGGCCCCTTACTTCTGTTGATGATATAAATCCTGCATTACTTTCAGGACCCGAAATTACGGAAATTTCGGAATCTTCCTTATTATGGGTAATGCAGGATTTATATCATCAACCGTTCAGGCTTCAAGGGTCAACTGCCTCCTCCAGGATGCGGCCGACCGCTGCACCGCTCGCATTTAGAGCCTGCGGCTGCGCAGGATCAAATGGGGGTGCGGTTCAGCGTAATGTTTTGGGCCTTGTTTCTCGGCGGATCATAGAGTCAACAGACGCATCCGAAAGCAACGAATTCAGGTGTTTTGGGCCTGAAGCATTAGAATAGGGTTTTGGGCTTCTTTATGGTAGAGTTATAATAAGGAACCCTAAGGAACAATGTTTGCAATTATTTATGCCTCTACAGTAGGTGTCAGGGCTTAGGGTTTATGCTTTGGGCTTTAGGGTTTACGTTTCTGGGTCTTGAGTTTAGGGTAGTGCCACATACAACTTAATTCATGTGGGGTTTGAGGCTTAGGACGTTGGGGCTGAAGGTTTTGGCAGATCAGCTAACATGTCTGTTGCCGCTTTGTCTTGGCCCTGGCCGCTCTTACGCCTGGTCCTGTCTTGGCCATGATTTCTCTGATGTCCCTCACAACCCGAGCCGCGATTCTAAGGGTTCCACTAAGGGATCCTTTAAGGGCTCCTTTAAGGCTGTCTTAATGGCTTCCGTTGAGCCTGAGGATGGGTTACTCCGCCCTAGCAATGGCCTAAACCCTCAACACCAAAGGCTGAATCCTAAACCCTGAACCCGAAACCCTATTGAGTCGCTTTATTTGGCTACGGTACCTAATTTAAAAAATATATGTATATAATCTTTTTTATTACTTGCCCTGAACTCTTACAAATCTAGGCCTGCAGGGTCTGCCGTCTTAGCTCCACAGATATTAAACAGCTACTTGTCCAGTATCATGGGGAGCTACGTGCAGCTAACCTTTGGGATTCTATAGGGCAAGCAAGTAAGGCAAACCTCACCCCACAGCCATGGATTTGGGAGCTTCAAAAGCTACAGGACTCTACTGATACAGACCCAAAAAGACAGCTTAAGCTTTAGGGGTTCAGGGTTCAAGGACAGATATAGTACAACCAATGTAGAATTTGTTTTGGAATCCCTGACGTACCAAACCCCATAACAGAAACCCCACCCTAAACCCGGAACCCAAACCCAAAACCCCAAACCCGAAACCCCAACACCGAACCCTAAACTCCTAACCTCCTCTACCCTAAACCCTAAACCTCAAACCGCTGAGTCCTACTCTCTCGTCTCAGCTTTTCAACGCACCTTGGCCGTCCAAGCGCCGCCTCTGCTCGACGAGTAGGGAACTGCGGCATTTCGCACCTAAGGACCCGGGCTTAGGATTTTAGGGTTTAGAAGTTGAGGATGTTGGGTGCAGGAGCTCGTGTGTAGGAGTTTAGGCTTCGGGTTGTGAATCGTCGTGTCGACCCCTCTGATTCATGAACCCGTCTCCATCAACAATTATAGTCATCGGGACCTTTTTAAATTAGGGCCTCCAAAGAAACAGGAGAAACCGTGTCAACATTACACCAAAAACCCTCGGCACCAAAGCCTGCATCAAAACGCAAGGCTCCAAGCCCGACACGCCTTAATTCTGGAACTGACTTTCAGACCCGCCCTCACAGTAACTGTTGATGATACAAATCCTGCATTACCTTAAGGACCCTAAACTATGGGTATTATGGTATATTCATTATTTTGGGTAATGCAGGATTTCTATCATCAACCGAAGGATCCTCATGGAGATTCAGGCATCTTGTTGCATGAAGATGGGGGGCCCTTATATAATGGGTTTCGGGGGGGGCACAGTTTCGTGCAACTAGAGAAAGGAACCCTTCCTGCCACATCCCTGAATCATCCTGAACCCTCAACACAGACTGAGCCCTTTAGCGGTTTAGGGTTTAGGGTTTAGGGTACTCTCCATCTCAAACACTCAGCTCGCTAACTTAACTGTTCTAGGAGCTGGAGTTCTGTCACAGACACTGTCCCGAAACCCATGAATAGAAAAAAACAAGCATTTGTGGTTTCGGGTTTAGGGTCAGCCGACGCCTCTGGATTCCTAGACCCCTTTCAGAAGTCCTGAACCTAAACCCTAAACCCTAAAACCCTAAACCCTAAACCCTGAACCAACTCTTCATCCGAATGATGCTGAACTCTTGCCCAGCCCTGGTGTAGCCCCACGAAGATTTACATAATGTAGGGGCATTAGTAGCTAGATTAGGGTTTTGGGGCCCATTATGCTAGTACAAGGAGCCCCAAAAATAGTACAGGTAATTATCTTGTGGCCCCCATAGTAT